AGAAATGGACCCAAGGTAATATGCTCAATTAATATTTGACAAGGGTGGCAAGCACATACAGTGGAGTAAAGACAGCCTCTTTAATAAATAGTGTTGGGAAAATTGGACAGCTACATGCAAAAAAATGAAACCAAACAATCAACTTACATCATACACGAGAATAAACTCAAAATGGATAAAAGACTTAAATGTGACTCATGAATCCATAAAAATCCTAGAAGAAAATGTAGGCAACAAAGTTTCAGACATCATTTGCAGCAGAATTTTAACTGACATATCACCTAAGGCAACAGAAACAAAGAAGAAAGTGAACACATGAGACTACATCAAAATCAAAACCTTCTGCACAGCAAAAGATACAATCATCAAAATGGAGAGGCAACCCACTGTATGGGAGAGCATAATTGCCAATGATATATCAGATAAGGGGTTAATTTCCAATATATATAGCACTTATACTATTCAACAAAAAGAAGACAAAGAACCCTATTAAAACATGGCCATAGGAACTAAATCGACACCTCTCCAAACAGGACATACAAATGGCTAAGAGACATATGAAGAAATGCTCAACATCATTAATCATCAGAGAGATGCAAATTAAAACAACAATGAGGTATCACCTCAAACCTGTCAGAATGGCTGCTTTCAACAATTTATCAAATAAGTGTTGGCACGGGTGTGGAGAAAAGGGGACTCTAGTACCCTGCTGGTGGGAATGCAGACTGGTGCAGCCACTATGGAAAACACCAAGCTGTTACCTCAAAAAATTAAAAATTGAACTTCCATTTGACCCAGTGATCCCACTTCTAGGAATATATTCTAAGAAGCCTGAAGCACCAATCAGAAAGAATATATGTACCCTCTTGTTCGTAGCAGCACTATTTATAATAGCTAAAATCTGAAAACAGCCCAAATGTCCATCAGTTGACGGATGGTATAAGAAACCTGTATACACAATGGAATACTATGCAGCTGTAAGAAAGATCCCTTATCTTCTGAGATGAGCATGAAGGGACCTGGAAAGTATTGTCCTAAGGGAAACAAGACAAACCGAGAAAGACAAGTATCATATGATCTCACTTATTTGTGGAATATAATGAACATAACAGTCTGAGGAATGGGGTTGTCCCAGAAATGTGGAAGTGGGGTACAGACTGACAATCTTCAGAACAAGGGGTGGTGGGGGAGAGATAAATCACAGAACTTACATGCATGTATGCATGAACAAAGGTCATGGGCAATAAAGTGGGGGAAAGGGTAGTGAAGGATGGGGATGGGGGAATCAGTGGGGGAAAATAGAGAAACATCTATAACAAAAATTAATTAATTAATTAAAAAAAAAAAAAAAAAAGGAGGACCTGTTTCAGGGCCTACTATATAAATTGTAGTTTGTCACTGCAGAGAAAAAATCTATTAACATAAAGATAAGAGAATCTAATTATGCTGAACAACTGTTAATTATGTACGTAAAGGGTTGAGAAATTTTTTTTATAAAGTCCCAGATAGTAAATATTTTAGGTTCTGTAGACCACATGGTTTCACTTTCAAACTACTCATCTCTGCCACTGGAGGGCAAAAGCAGCAAAAGACAATATGTATATAAATGGATGTAGCTGTTAACAATAAAACTATTCATGAACACTAAAATTTCATATAACTTTCACATATTATGAATAATATTCCTTTGAGTTTTTTAATCAGTTAAAAATTATAAAAACTACTCTTAGCTCAGAGAGCCAACAAAATAAGGTGGGAGGCCAGTTATAGCCTGTTCTATCTGATACACAATTTCTGGTCACTGGTGATGACCATATATTCAAATTTCAGTAAAGATAGCTAGTAGAGACAACTTAGTCAGAAAATTTGAGATCAGTTTTGTTGACCCTGAGAAGAATATACCTGCCAAAAGGACCCCACATGGTTAATTGGACTCCAATTCATAACTGGAATCTAGCAGCTGTTTTTTGTCGAGAAGCCTCTCATGCACACTGCATATCAGAGAAAAACCATAGAGAGACTGGATCCAAGTGAATTCTTATAGGAGAATTCCTAGGATCAAAATTTGTCCAATATGATTGAGACTTTCCCAGTCCAATCAGAGCTGTACAGCTATACACTTATTTGTATCTTTATTGCCCAATCAGTACAGTGCTTTTTGGGCCAAAGTGAGGATTTGGACTGTTCATTTGCATGAGAAAGGAGCAATCAGGGACTGGGGTTGGACACTCTTCTCTATATAAGACAGCTTCATCTCTGCCTCAATAAAGTGCACTTATAGTTTCCATTGAAGACTTTATTTCCCCAGTAGAAGCTGTTACACTGGGGCTTTAACACCACCCATTACAGCTGGAACTAACACCTGAGTCCACTCCCCAGGGCTGCTTCACCAAAGCTCTATCACAATTAAGCTGTTTCACAATTGAGCTGTTTTCACTGAATAAAGTCTCCCCTTTTACCACATCCTAAACTGGGAATTCCCATTGGTGTTGAATTGGCAGTGAGACCTTCAGTTGACAGTTTCAAGATCCTTGTTCTGCTAACAGTAAAAGGAAGTAGTTGTTATTACCCTTTAGGAGTGTTAATAGACTGTCCACGTCACTCAGCCTCCTGCCATACCTGAAAATCATCTAGTTACAAGGTACCCAAAAACCTGGAAATACAAGTCTTCAGAAAGAGCAATCAAGGTGAACAAGACATCAGACAGACACTACAGAGCCTGAAGTCTCCACGTACAGCTGTCAAACAAAGGCTCTAAAAAAACTCAGGTTACATCTTTTAAAAATGTACTAGTGTGTTATAATGTGTCAGTGAGATAACCAGAGACACAAAGCCAAATTTTAAAGGAGCGCTTTATTCTCGCCAGCGGACTGGGGAGGGCATAGTCTCCCCTCAGATCAGCAGCCAGGATTCTTCTTGCTCCTCCTATTTTAAAGACAGAAACCCCATCCTCCTTTTTCCCTCCTCTCCCTCCGAGGACTGGTACAATAGTGTGTGTGACAACAATTACAGAAGTAAAAATTAGCATTATTCACCGGGCTCACAAATACCTGCAAATACCGATACTGGAAATGCCTCCCAACACGTGGGGCAACTATAATCTTAGGCAAAACTCCTTTACTTCTAGGGTTAATTAACCAATTATTGAAAAAATACCGAGGAAGGTGATAAAAATGATGATAAAAATGGAGTCATTTAGTCGCCTTAGCCAAGAGGCCTATATAAGAATGGAATCTAGTTGCCTTAGCCTGGGGACCCAGGTCAATGAGGGCTCCAGTTCTAACATGTCTGCTAAAGTCTAGCAGGAAAAACACAGAAAGACCCAGATGGGAGGTTTCTAAGCTTGAAAAATAAGCCTGGGTAATAAGCTATTAAGTAAGATTTTAAAACACTGCCTATGACATCTGTGGATGAAAAAGGGGCCACATGCTAAACATGACAAGCTCAGGTGGGCCTTACAGCCTCAGAGACCAAAGGTAACCACATAAGATGGTCGAAACAAAAAGTCCTAACTAAAGGAGGGTCATGGCGGGTAGTCACATCCTAGGCCTACAACTTCTTTTGACAAAGGTCAACGTTTACCTCGAGAGCCTATTATCTTTTTTGCATTTAAGATAACATATCTTGGAAATGTCAGAGTAATAATCTTCTTTTCCAGACCCCTCAACAGCACAACCACAGAGACCACAGAACCCTCACATACCATCTTTATGTACTGTAAATATTAACTATCATGTAACCACCAAAGCAAAAGTAGTGTCTCTCCCATTTTGCTTTTTAATTCAGTCCCAGAGTTTTCTCCACTTTGCTTTCTCCCATCCCCTTACCCCACCGATAATGGATTTCAGTAACTATCCTTATGTCTTCCCCTTTTATTCTATAATGTATAAGGTAAGCTGCAAAACCGCCATTCTCCAGAGTATTTTCTTAATCCATTGAGATTTTTGCTTCCCCACAATTGTCAATTTGGCTCAAATAAACTTATAAAAATTCTTTACAGGTTTGAACATTTCTTATGCTCCTGTTACTAACAGTGACCTTCTTGTAGCTCCTGTAGCCACAGTCTTAGTATACTAGACACACACACTCATACCTTGATTTAAAGCAAAGGACCAGTGCCATTTCATTTTTTTATTAATTAATTTATTTTTGTTACAGATGTTTCTCCTTCCCCCCTCACTACTTCCCCCTTCCTCTCCCCTTCCCTCCCTGCCCTGTCCCCAGCTTTGTTGTCCATGTCCATTATTGATGCATACATGCACATAAGTTCTGTGATTTATCTCTTCCCCACCACCCCCTGTTCTGGGGATTGTCAGTCTGTACCCCACTTCCAGGTCTCTGGGACTACCCCATTCCTCAGACTGTTATGTTCATTATATTCCACAAATAAGTGAGATCATATGATACTTGTCTTTCTCTGTTTTGCTTGTTTTGCTTAGGATAGTACTTTCCAGGTCCCTCCATGTCCTCTCAACGGATAAAAGATCTTTCTTACAGCTGCGTACTATGCAAGCTGTAAAACCAGTACCATTTCAAAGCCTCTAGCTGGCAGCTAGCTCCCTCCGCGATACCCTGCCCCCTTGCCACCTAACTGGAAAAGCCAGTTTCTTCAGTCTCCTTCCCAGGCGACAGATGTCACAGAACCCTACCACCAACAACCCATCCCCACCCCTGCCCCAGTTATAACATCTTCCTCAAGCCCTAACAGCAAAAGCAGATACAAAGGAGGAAAACCGCGCTTCTTATTGTTGCTCAGAGAACCACTCGCGCCTTGACCCAGTTAACCGATTGCAGCGCACCCTAAAGACAATGATTCCAGAGTGCCACAGGATCTCGCTTTCTCGGGCATCTTGCTGGACTTGGGAAGTTGGGAGGTTGGGGGGAGGGGAAGGGCACAGAAGGGTCAGGTGACCCTGACAACTCCGCCCATGTATTCCTGCCCGAGTGCCTGCTTTACGCTTGCGCTGCTGCGGGTGGGGGAAGTTGGAGCGTCACAAGGCTGTTCAAATGGGGCTAAAAGTGCGGGCGGTCTTCTTTGACCTGGACAACACGCTCATCGACACAGCCGGGGCCAGTAGAAAAGGCATGTTTGAGGTAACTTTCCGGTACCCGCGGCCCTCTTAGGGGCGTTGTCCGCGCGTCCTACCTAGTGCTGAGCGCTTTTCTGTTTTCTTAGTGTCCTCCCGCGTCCACCTAACACCACGCCCAGGGTCGGTGATCCCACAGGGGCCCCGGAAGTCCTGGTATCTCGTGCTATGAGTCACCCGTGCTGGAAGGAGGGGGAAAGAAGGACGAGTGAGCTGTGGAGGCTGCCTTCCCTCAGGCCTGACAGCTTAGGTTATCTGCCTGTGTACCTGCAGGCTCTGGGAAGCTGGGTTCTTGAAATTCGTTCCAGCGCTTTGGGACCCAGAAAAATGTCATTAAAGTTGCCACGATGGCAGAGTTGCTGCAAAACATAGGAAGACTGCTACACCACGCCAAGTCACCTGGCTTTTTGCCAGGACGGGTTTGAATCAGCCAGAATGAGTGCATGCAGCGGACTCTTTGTGATTGACCTCGGGGGATGGCTGTCCCCCCACTCCGTGTTCTTCGGTAGATCTTTGAGACCCAAGAAGTTACACAACTATCAGCGGTGAGCCTGGACTTAATCGATTCCAGAGAATTTTCACTGCAGAATTTCCCTTTCTGTCACCTTTAGGAGATTTCTGAAGTGAATCAAAAGTCCCCACCTACACAGGGTATTTCTTTCGCGAGGCATTCCCCAGCAGTATTCTCTCCTTTCTATACCCACAGACGCTGTATCAGACTTTTCCTATGTTCTTCAGGCAACCCAATCCACTCCTGCTTTCTTCCTTCTGCCTTCAGCTTTAAGGAGAAAACCAAGGATTATCACATGTGAAAAACCCAGCTAGTTTTTGTCTCTCTGGATCTTCACCTCTTTCTTGCATATTTAGGTCTGCCACATACTTAAAAAAAAAAAAAAAAAATGCTTCCCTTGTACTTTCTTCCTCCATGAGATATTACTTCTCTCTCTTGACAGCTATGTTTTTCAAGAGAAATGTATGCCTATTATCTCCATGCCTCTGTATCTCCTATTTGTTCCTAGCTCCATTATAACGAATGAAATAGACTTAACAGGTTATTAGATCTATCTTCCAAATTTTCAAATTCAGTGGACAGTTTAAGTCTGTTTTAATGACTTGTCTGAGCCATTCCACACTATAGACTGTCCCTTTCATCTTCACACCCTTAACTTTGATTTTAGGGACACCAGCCTGTGCTATATTGCCTCTAGTATCTCTAGGTGTTGATAGTACATATTTACCTTTGTATTCTTGGCAATTAGGCCAAATCATGCTGTAAGCCAAGAGTTCAGGCTTTAAATCAGGCATCTGAGTTTAAATCACAGTTCTCCCAGTACTCAGCTGAAAGTGCCTAAACAAGTTACTTAACCAATCTAAGCCTCCAATCCTCATTATAAAATTTGAATAATGATATTAGTTCTCAATAACCATATCAGGTAGGCTTAGTATAATGTAGGGGAAGTACATAGCATCCAGTATTCACTTGATGAATAGTACCACCATCCACCCTGTCACCTACTTCATCAATCCTGCACATCCTCCTAGCCTTATGTTAGTTAAAGTTGGAGTTGTCCCTTATCTAGACTGTTGCTGTGGACTTGTCCACATTCTTTCCATGGTGAAATTTCTGAAACGAACACTAGATTTTATTTCTCTCTGGTCTTTACACTTATGCCAGCACTATATTTTGTTCAGATATCTCTTAATGCATTTGTCAAAGGATATTACAGTTATTTTTTGCAACTGAGCCCACAGCTAAACAGTGAGCTTCTTAAGAATGAACAGACTATAAGTCATCTTCATTTGACTCATGGTAAATGTTGAATGAATGCTAGATGGATGTCTGAAAATCCAGGTCTCTCCACACTTGGTTCTCTTGCCACCTTCTTTGGCCTGTATGCTTATGCCTGTACAAGTATGCTTTATCACATAAGAATATAGCAACAGCCCCGGCTGGTTTCGCTCAGCGGTTAGTGTTGGCCTGCAGACCAAAGGGTCATGGATTTGATTCCAGGTCAAGGGCACATACCTGGATTGCAGGTTTGATCCTCAGCCCCAGTAGGGGTCATGCAGGAGGCAGACAATTAATGTGTCTCTCTCACACTGATGTTTCTCCTTCTCTCTCTCTCCCCCTCCCCCTCTCTCATCCTCCTCCTCCCTCCCTTCCTTCCATTCTCACTAAAAATCTGTGGAAAGCCCTGCCCGGTTTGGCTCAGTTGTTAGAGCGTTGGCCTGCAGACCAGAGTCCCAGGTTTGATTCCGACCAAGGGCATGTACATCGGTTTCAGTTCATCCCTGGCCCTGGTTGGGGTAGGGTGGGTGGCAACCACTCATTGTGTCTCTCTCATGTGATGTTTCTCTCTCTCTCCCCCTCCCACTCTGTCTGAAGATATATGTAAAAGTATCCTAGGGTGAGGACTAACAACAACAACAACAAAAATGTAGCGTGCTTGCTTTTATAAATGACTGAATGATTTATAGAAAGAGGAGAGGGAAAAGGTCTAGCCATTGCTTGGGCTTGGGGAGAAGGAGTCAAATACTAACTGTATAGATAAGCTTTAATTTTTTAAAATCTTCTGGGAAAGTTATTTCCATCTTTTTCAGGCCAGTCTCACTGTCACTACTCAAAAGGAAGCCTTCTACAGAAATTAAGGGTTTCTCGGTGAACAAAGCAGAAAAAGTTTCTGCATTTGAGTTTTCTATCTAGTAGGGATAACAGTGAACATAATACATCAAGTGTATTTTTATATGTTAGGCAAAGTGGAAAGGGGAACAAATCACAATTTTAAATAGGTTGGTCAGATTAGGCCACATGAGTGAATGATGTCTGAGCAGAGACTTGAACTATAAATAACAGGAGGGCTGCTTGAATTGTTGGGGTATATACAGGTAGTCATAGTGTGTATTTTTAACTTAGTTTTATTTGAAATTCAGCCACTTCATATCTTTATCATAGTGTTATAAAGTGTTGCATGGTTCTAGCCCTCAAAAAGTCTTCTTAAATCACAAGTAGCTAAACTCTGGTATTGATGATATTAACTTTAATTCTGGGTCCACAGAACAGGAGGAAGAGAATAGTTTCCTTTTTATATGTTAAATCGAGTTTTGAAGTTGGTGAGATTTGAGTTTATATTATGTCTACAAATTTGTTTCCCTGCCCCCACTATCTTAGGGCCTCTTTTTTTTTAGGTCTATAGGTACTTAGAAGGCATAGTCTACTCAAAATTTTTTTCAAGCCTGCCTTACCCCCTGCACAAAATGTCATCACACCTCCAAGTTAGAGATCTTTTTCCTCCATCTTCGGTTCAATCAAAACTCCCATTCTCTCAGTGTAAATGTAGGAGAGTTTACACTAATAATAGCATGTGTGTTAATTCAACTTAGGAATTATTTCTTTTTTATTTAATATTAATATGTGAATGACTGACAGACATTTTCCCCAAAGATGTTTTGTTTTAGTTTTTTTTTATTTAAGATATTTAAATATGTTTACTGATTTATAGAGAGACAGAAAAGGAGAGGGAGAGAGGGAGAGAAACATTGATATGAGAGCACAACATTAATTGGCTGCCTCCATGTCCCCCACCAGGGATGGAGTCCCAACCTAGGCATGCACCCTGACCAGGAATCAAACTGGCACCCTTCAGTGCATGAAACAATGCCCAACCAACTGATCCACACCAGTCAGAGCCCAACAGTATTATTAAAATGCTACTTGTTATTCCAAATGAACCTGTAATTAAGTTGCTGTGTGACAAATGGGAAAGTTAATTCAGGGAATGTAATGGGAAGAAATTTTGAACCATTACAAATATCTCCCATTTAAGGTAAGCCAATTCTGATTTTAATGTCCCAATGAATTGCCAATTGCAGTAACAGAAAATTGGATTTTTATTGGGAAGTCTCTGTTTAACTACGAGTCAGCTCCTATTTGAGATCAAGCACTATGGAGACCTAGAGGACTGCTTCTTTTTTTTGTGCACCAATAGGTTTTTTTAAAACTATAGAATGACCTTCAATCATGACTCAATAATAATTCAGTTGACATTATGATAAAAGATGGTGACATAATCATGAAGGCTGAAAAAGCCTTCCTGATTTGTTCATTGAAATTTATAAGGCAAAATTTTTCAGTAGTTTGCCTTCACCTAAAATTCTTAGGGCTGGTATATTTTCTTGGACTAATAAAATTTTCTTAACTATTGTATTTTCTGATGAGCACAAATAGCCTGAAAAATATTTCCTTTGCTTTTGGTGTAAGTGATTCTTATTCTCTGAAAGAAGAATGTGTCTATTCATCTCTTTCTTTTCAGTGAATTGAGTGTCTGGTGTGAGTAGCATACTACTTTTCCCTGTATAATTTAGGACAGCACATTTTGTTTTACCTCTTTGCTTGAATAGCAGACAATTAAAAAAATTTTTTTTTGACCTTATAGAGAGAGTGGAAGAGAGAGGGAGAGAGAGATAGAAACATCGATGAGAAAGAACTTCAATTGGCTACTACCTCCTGCACTGGGAATCCGGCCCACAACTTGAGCATGTGCCCTGACTGGTAATTGAACTGGTGACCTCTTGGTGCGTGTGTCAATGCTCAACCAGTGAACCACACCAGCCAGGCACAGCAGACAATTTTTAATCCCAGCTATGTGCATTGCACTCATCCTCAATGATCCAAAATTGTCACGGCATGGTTGACTTTTCCCAAATGTCCCTAAGACAGGGACTTCAAGTACAGATAGTTTGTTTGGGAGGTGATCCTGGGAAGCACAATAGGGGAGTGGTGAAGTAAGACAGGGAAGTGAAGGAATCTACAGGTTACATAAATAAGCAGGTTACTATTGTGAATAGTTAGGGAACTATTGAGATAGTATGCAGAACATGCTTTACTTGTCCCTCCCAAGGGGCAAGAAAGCTATGCTATTTATTCACCAAATTCTGTTCCCCATTGGTTGAGGCCTGTTTCAGGCAACACTTTGACCCCAGCCTATGTGCATGCGTTCCCCTGGGGCC